ATTGTTATTATGTTAGTTTTATAATAATAGTTAAAAAAAAGTGATACGTTTAATATTTCCGAAATTATAGAATATTATTTGTTAAATTAATTTAGTATTGTGTCATAAATTTACTATTTTGCAATAATACAAAAATTTATTTATTTGAAAGAATAAAGACCTGCTAAACTGTTTTAAAAAACGTGGAAGAGTAATTGAATACCACAACTGATTGAAGAGGCGAAAGAAATCCACAATCGAATCCAAGTCTATATAAAGTCCAATACATTATTTGTTAGAGACTGCTATTATGTTAGTTTATTATTAGTAATAGTTAAAAATTAATATATTTATAGAATATTCTTCAGAGAGCTTTCGAACAGTAGCGAATTACAACAACAAAATTTTTTATTATTTTAATTAATTGAATTTTTAACTGTTTCGAGTATTGCCAAATACCCATCATCATTAGTGTTCTTGGAATTAATTCTTGTATTGAATTATTTTTATATAATTTTTTTTAAAATCAAGTACCAAGGGTTGAACCCGTATCCTGCCAAATTTGAAGCTCAGACTCATTAGGTTGTATTAGGCAACTGACTCAAAGTCTTAGTTTTATTAATTTGCTGTAAAAGTTCATTAACAAATTCACTCTCTATTCTTTCTGTCTATTCTTTCTATACAGTAGTTAGTAGTTTCTATTAACTAAAATCGTCACTGCCATCATAACTGACGTTAAAATGCAGTAGAATATTCTTTGTTAAATGGTTGGGTGCTTATTATTATACTGTTTTATTCTCTACACTAAATAAATTTCTGTATTTCTGCACCATATTTAATCTTAAAATGTACTAGAAAGTCTAATATCTTCAATTTAAAATTTTTTGATGTCTTTAATGATGTCTTTATTATGAAATTTCTATTTTATGCTTGTCATCTTAACTCAATAAACGTCTTATGAATGAAGAAGACCCTCTTAACTTCATCCCTGGTACTGTCGTCGGAGACAAGGGTTTCTTCAGTGTCGCTGATTCATTTAATCGCACAATTGCTTTTATTGACTTCATAAAAAATGCTTATAATTAAATGTAAATACAATTTTATTTCTTCATTATTTACATAGTAATTTCTACTACTGCGAAATATGTTGAAGGAGACGTCTGTATTAGCAAGGCTATCATACACACCATCCATCCATTCACTTTTTATTTGCAAACAAATTTTCTATTTATTTACGAATTATTGAATGGAATTGGCTGCTCCTTCGGACAGAGTTGCCCATTGTATCTTTTGTCAACTTTCTTTATGGCTTAATTTGCACATTCCTTTTATATTGAGTTTTTTATTGGCTCTACTATTTTAACTTACTATTTATTCTTTTTTTTTTGTTGTCTTCTTTATACTCTTATATTTGCTTTTTTTTTCATTTTTTTTATTTTTTTTTGATTTTTTTTTTTATTTTTTGTTGAATTCATTAAACTTTTCAATTCGGCAACATTGCGAAAAATCGTCGTCTATGAGTCACGGCAAAAATCGCTAAAAGTAAAACCAACACAAAATCTATTTTCGACTTTTCGTTGTAATTTTTGCCTTCTGTTTTTCCTTTTATTTATAAATCTATCTTTGTTGATTGTATGTATTAATTTTTTATTAAAATATTTTTTATTTTTTCTATTTAACTTTTTCTATTTAAATTCTTGCCTCGAAGAAAAACACAAGTTACAGATTTATTTTATTTTTTTTTATCTCTCTACGAAACTTTTAATGAATTCCGTTGTTTTTTTTTTTTTTTTTTTTTTTGTTTTGTGCCTTCACTTGTTGATTTTAGTGACGGAAAGTCAGCATAAATCTCGCACGCATACTCTTCACTCTTTCCAGTTCAAAATGGGTCTCACGTACTTTTTTCGTTTGCATAATTTTCGCCCACAAATTTTTTTATTTTTACTTTTAACAAACCCCCTTCAGTGTGTTTTACTGGATTTAGGCAAATAAGGAAATTATTGGGTCGTCAAGATTTTTTTTTCTATGATATTCTGTAATTCCATAATTATAATCTATAAAACCTTCCTTTCAATTGGAATTAATTTTAATGATGTGTTGTCGATGAATAAATTTTAAATATACATATGTATGTATTTAAATATATCTATTAATAATTTTTATTATTATTTTCATTATGAAATTTTCATTGTAAAATTTTCATTGATTTGAATAATTGCCCCAATGTAAAATTTCAATGAAGCTACGACTGATTGTAATAAAAAAAATATGATTTTAATCGGTTTTTGCTAGAAGAGATTTATTAAAACGGGTATCAAATCCAAATTTTAACCAAAATATACTTATATTGTTATACCGTTCTATTATCATAAAAGACTTAATACTTTTAATGCTTCTAGTTTAGATAACCTCTGTTAAATGGGTGTTGCATACAACCTAGTCATCATATATTGCATTTCGAATTTAAGAATGGCATAAATGAGTATTCTAAAAATACTACTTATATCCTCAAAAACTACCTTGACCTTATGTCATCCATGAAACTAGATTTTAATAAATCGGAGTTTTTGAATAATCGATGCTCTGAACCTTTTTTTCGATACTCTGCAAAGCTTTGGTTTTATATTTTGAACTTTTGGTTCGATACTAAAAATCTCAATACTCTGGAACTTTGGCCCGATACTCTAAATCTTTGGCTCGATTCTGTGATTCGATAATCTCAAGCTTTAGTATTAGACTCTGAACCTTGATTCGATACCCCAAAACTTTGATTTTATTCACTAAAACTTCTGTTCGATACTCTAAACCTTAAGTTCGATATTGTTTACCTTTGGTTCAATACTCTAAACCTTTAGTTCAATACTCCATACCTTTGGTTTGATGCTCTGTCCCTTGGTTTGGTCTTTGGATTAATACTTTGAATACTTTGAAGTTGCTAGAGTTACTTCTAACAGTTATAACACTGAACCTTTGGCTTAATATTATGAACCTTTAGCTCGATTCTCTAAATCTTGGGTTTGGTACTGTGAAGATGTGGTTTTGATCTTTAGAATCGCCGCATCAGTTCAGTTTAATGATCACATGGACCATTAGTTTACTTGATTTGACACCGAACTGTGATTCGATATTCTAACCATTTGGTTTATTACTCTAAAGGTTTAATTCAATACTCTGGAATTACAGCATAAGCGGTTACTCATTTATATATAACAATTTATAAAAAAATTTATATTTATGTATTTTATAAGAAAGCAACCATGATTTATTAATACACATATATATGAAATAAATGTAGTCGTTTGATTTAGTGGTTTGAGAGCTTCAACTGATGCTCAATTTATTTTTATTTTTAAATTCAAACAGAATTTTTTTGTGTAATTTCTTAGTGATTGTCGGTGAACAATACTTCAGATATAAAATAATTTTGCATATTGATAATATTATTTTTCGTGTAAAATCTTATACAGTCCTACATTTCTTTTATGCATACTCCCGCGGTTAGGATTGCCTGTTCTAAAAGGCGACTAAAATCCTCCAGTGCCAGTCTGGTACTTATGTAGGAAGTGCAAATGGTAGTGAGTGAGATCAGCACTCGCGACATTTAACCAAAGATGAACCGATCTGGTATTACGGGGGTTAGTTGCCCGCAGCTTCGGCTGTTCTGACCATTGGCGTTGGCTGCTTAGTGTCTGTCGGTTGATACCCAAACGTACGCGGGAAGAATGATTTAGATATTGTATTATCATTCATTCGCCGTGGAGTGCCTTTCATACCGGGTGCTACAGCCCAAATTGTAGCAGAGGATTAAGATAGGCCTTGCATTTGACAAAGGTGGAAAATATGACTTACATGAATATCTTTATTACTACCGGCGGAATAGAGCAGGCGTTGATTGACGCTTTATATTAATACGTGTGTTTTTGAACACCGTGGTGTTAAGCCTTGTAGGCAGGAAATCACGTTAAAAATACTGGACTCTGTACATAATGTTCAGTAATTTTTATATTAATCGAGTCAAAATTGTACTACCTCTTTGAAGTGAGCTATGGTAATTGAGGATATGTTCATTTTTATTTAAAACTTATCTCTCATATATTAAACCATGATTGTAGTTCATGAAGTCAGAAGGTCAATGAAGAAGTTGAAGTCGGTTCAAGTAGTCCTAAAAATCTTTTGATTTCTCTCAGTAAACAATGAAAAAAAATTCAAAACAATATTCTCTTCTAGTAGGTTTATTGAAATACTTATTTTATTCCCCCAACGAAGGTATAGTTTATTATTCGCAAATCGAAAACTATAGCAACCATTCCAAAGTTTCCTTAGCATGTAGTAAATGTACTCAATATTTTAGAACGCATATTGCAGTTTTATGTCGTTAACTTTGACCTTTAATATAATTAAAAATATTGGCATGTTTGTGTATGTTATAAATTTAAAGTATTCATTTCATTGGTTTTATGTTTTTTTTTTTTTTGTTTTCAGTTAGAGGAACATTTTTCATAGCGAAATAAAAAATATAAGCTCTGCATTCTACATTCGTTTGTAGTAAACAAGCACATAAAAGTACAAACAGCCGATATGAGTAAAAATACAGGTCCAGCTCCACCACAATACACCTATGTGCCACCACCATCGGCACCGCCATCCTATCAGGAGGCGATTGGCGGTGTCAAACCAGTGGGGCCATTCACACCTGTCCCTGCACCAGCGACTGCAGCTACAAATGCTACCATTGTTACAACTGTTGTGCCCATTGGACGCACTGCCACACACATGATATGCCCACATTGCCATGCAGAAATAGAGACAACAACACGAACTGAGCCGGGCATGATTGCGTATTTATCCGGATTCGTTATCGCATTACTTGGGTGAGTTATGTCGTTATGTCAATGTGGTGTGAAATTGTATTGTAATAACAAAAAAAAAAACAAAAAAAGAAGAAAAAAAATAAAAGAAAATATAATTAAAATAAAAATTTAATCGATTTTAATACTTTTTCAGTTGCTGGCTGGGTTGCTGCTTGATACCATGTTGCATTGATGAGTGTATGGATGTGCACCATACGTGCCCTAGTTGCAAGGCCTATTTGGGTCGTTACCGGCGATAAACTTCAATTAAGGCAGCAGATAAAGTTTCTTCCTAGCAGATGCGGTATAGCGGTATTCTATAGCGCAAATGGCTTTGAAGTGCAACGATTTAAAATTATAAATTCTCGGTCTTTTTTGTTTTTTTTTTTTGATTTAAGAATTATTTATTTTGTAAATTTATTTTTCGTATTTTGTATAATTTATTTACAATCCACTAATTAATTCCAGTTAAGCCATTAAATATGAGCACTAAATTTAACTATTAAATGAAATTAATTTGTCTTGTATTGAATAAACACAAATATTGAAATAATTATTTCAAACGAAATGCTTAAAGCTATGCCAATTTAATTTTAATTTGTAAAAAAATACTAAATCTCTCTCTCTTCTCATCAGAGTATCCGGATACTTTGAAGTACATGAAGTACGCCACGTACTTTGATTCATTTCCGAACTGTTAACATCAAAGATACGAGACCCGTATCTGTAAAACTGCTTCTCTCCTTCTTCTTCTATGTATATAAAATGTTTGAAAATTAGTAGAATAATCGCTGGCACATTCTAAAACTGCTTTGGCAGGCACAACACGCCTAAAACACTACAGCGCTGCTATTTTGTGAAAACAATTAATAATAATTAATAATTAAACAATATTATTTATAAAAAATATATAAAAAAATTTTTTAATATTTTTTAAGTGTAGGGAAAAAATGTACACCAATTATTTACTATAAAAGTGTTAAACGAATTAATTAAGAAACCTATCTTTGTACAGAAAACTATCGCACATATAACTACAATAATAATTACACAATCGGACCTCAGACTTCTCTATAAAGTAGCCGGAAACGGCAGAATATAGAGTATGCTGTTATACAGAGGTTCGACGATTTATTTTTTATAGCTTCAATTTTAACATATTAAATTAAACTTTTAATTGAATTAAAATTATTCTTTAATTGGTTTGTTTTTGCATTTATATTTATAAAATATTTATAATTCGTAATAATTTGCTCAAACTGAAAACTCAACTGTTGTCCTGATGTGAAAAGGATCATTTACGTTTGTGCCTTTTTCCTTCCAATCTAAATGCTTTTCATTTCACTGAACAAACGCAATAATAAAATTATATTTAATAACTTAAAGGCTTTAAAAATATATTTGTATGAAAAATTTTTTAACTTTTTATAGTAACACTTTTATATGCTTAAAAGAAAAAATACCTATAAACATTTTATGTTTATTTAATAAAAAAAAAATATACATAAAGTTATATACACTTTTGGAAAAGGTTCAAATTTTAAACTAGACAAGCCGGAAAAGCTCCAGAGCAGTGCTTGTATTTTGTGGTCATTTAATTATAATAACATTATATATATATTAATATGTATATATATATGTAGTTAATTATTCAATCTAAGTAGATAACAAGTAGCTACTCTATACAATAACAAAAACAAACCATCTTTTGAAATGCTAAAAGGCAGCTAACTTATGATATGATAATCTTATGCAACTGCAATAAAAAAATCTATTTGCATACAGAGAATTTCCAATATTCAATATTTAATAATTACGATATTTGTATGTATATTACTTATCTTAATAATACTTTATAATAAATAAATAAAATAGATTCAAAAAGATACATACTTATAAACTTATGATATCTGTGTAAAGTTTTTAGGCACAAGTAAATTGATACGTGTGCCCCATTTAATAATAATAAAATGATTTTAATCAAAAATAAATATTATTTCTGTTGTTCTTATTGAATATATACATACTATATGTTTTAGTGAATATGGTAGATTTAGATTAAAATAAATAAGAAATTGATTTTATTTCAAATAAATATAAAATGAAATTATTTATCAAAAAATAAATTGATAAGAAATTAATTTTTAAAGCCCATTATGACGAGAGAAACAATGTTTCTTTATAGAAACTATTGTTTCAATAGAGATGGATTTTTGAACAGTATTGAATTACAACAACAAAAAATTGTTATTATTTATTAATTAAATGAAATTTTGCGAAGCTGACGAATATGCTACAGCTGCTATCGAAAAGGAATCTACAAGAATAGGCTTGGCGACTAGTGACCGGCGACTATACTTTCGAATCTGTCAAGGATTTCATCTACCTTGGCAACGTCTTGCATATATTTTTATTATTGTTAGGCGATGTGACACCGCGTTCGTCGGGCATATTGTCCCCCCTTCTGAGTTTAGAGTAGGTCTGTAAGTCCTGCTGCGTCAATAAAAAGTAGTCTAGAACCTACTTTACAGAATTTTTTTGTGCACTAGTGCAGGGCATACTAACAGTCGACTCCTCATTCTCTTCACAGAATCTACAGTTTGCAGCCATGACATACCTATAACAACGATGTCAGCCTGAAGAACAGACGAAGAATCATCCTCTCTGTGCTTCTGTATGCCGCATAAGCATGGACGTTATCACAGAATCGTAAAGTAGCGCTAGAAGTGTTCGAGTGAAAAGTTCTTCGTAAGATCTGTGGTTCTCTACGAGTTGCCGACGACTACCGCATACAAATAGATCACGAGCTATAAGAGCTTTATCACGATATTGATATATGGTAATTCAGTGAATTAACATCCATCGGCTTCGTTGGCTTGGTCATGTCGTGAGAATGAATAAAGATGCTCTAGCAAATAAGGTATCTAAAGCAGTTGTTGAACGAAGAAGGCGTACAGGAAGATCGTGTCTCCGGTGGTGTCATTAAGTTGCGGAAATACTAACCCCAGATTTGATGTTGATGTACGAGACTTGAGAAGGCACGCATAACATAAGTGTGTGGTGGCACAAGAGCCAACTTCGCGTCACTGTAGCTCGAGTGAATTTAAAATGCACCTCAAAAGGAAGCACATCGGTTCCTATGCTTTCTTTTAAGATCAGGAAGTTTACCATATCAGAAGTGAAGTATTTTAAAGCCAATTGAGTAGATTTAGAAGAATAAATAGAGATTTTAAAAGATTCACCATATTTTTTGATTACAGTGTTACATATATGTTACATGAAATAAAATAAATATTATTCTTGTATTTGAGGATTAATGCATCCATTGACATGTTAGTATACGTCTCGTGATACTTTTAGGCACCGAAACTTGTTATTTTTTATATTTTTTAATTTTGTAACTTGAAAATGATAAAAGAAATATCTTCTTAAGTTGATAAATTTATATCTCCGTCTTGTACGACTGATAAATTGAATGCTATATATATTTTTTGAAGATCCTATTAAATTTGTCTTTTGTTTGGTAAATTATATTGCGGTAATATATATAAACAATGAATTGGACATTTAATAGAAGAAGCAATGGGAATACAACGAACTATATAAATGATCTAGTTAAATATGGAATATATGTGCAAAACAAAAGTGAAACTTAATTAATGAAAAATGTCAGTCACCATGCAATACTTTGATATGATATATAAAATTTAAAACAAGATTTTCTAAACAAAAGTTTGAAAATATTATATGTTATTTCTAAATACTATCATAACTGATCTGTACCATTTCAGCAAAAGAGATTCCGATAATTGTTTGCTGTACTACAGCTATAGCGGCATTATATGTAGAAATTGTTCTTATCAAATTGATGCATTTCTCAGTTTCACATTTAGAGTATTTCTCTGAGTCAATAAGTTGATTCAAAAGATTCGTCAGTAATTTGTAGTATTGAACTGACTTTTAGGAGTGTTCTTTCTTCATTCTATAAAATTAATGAATTTATGATTAACATTCACAGAGCTGACTATTGGTAATGCAATTGAAAATTTCGGATCAAATGTTAAAAATTCAACCCATTTAAACGCATGAATATAATATATCAAATATTGATATTATTAAACGTAGATAAATGGCAGCAGATAAATGTCGTAATATTATGTATTTCTTTATTATTATAACCTTAGTTTGAAATAAATGACAATAAAACAAAATAAAAACAATAAACGTCAATAATTATGATTTACTATTAATTTCCAATTAATTAATAGTTTTAATTCTGTTCCTTCACGCATTCAATGTACACATTATACCATTAATACATTTTAAATACTACCTTTTCTTGTGCATACAACACAACTGCACAACACCCTAACACACTTTATTCTTACGCGCATTTCGTGGTTACATTCGTAAACAAACAGCGAACTGTCAAATTATCACGTACTACATTTCTTCTACAACGAAAAGAGGAAAAATGTAAAAGACATTAAGCGAAATGAATTATAATAGAATACATAAAAAGAAATTAGAAAAATATTAAATTAGAAGTTCTCTAGAAAGTCGATTAAAAAATATTGTCTCCACTCAATTATAAAGTGTAAATAAACAAAAAATTCGAGATAAAAACAAAAATGGTACTCCGTTCAGGCTGCATTATTCCCTTTCAGTTCCGCGACAATAAAAAACTTTTGATGATCGGTGTACCTGAGGAAAATCGAAATTTAAGCATTTGGGATTTAAAAAATGTTGGTAAGTTTAACGAAATGGTAGCAAACATTTTTCGAATCGAAAATAAACAAAATGTGTTGAAATGTAATAATATAAGAACATTTCAACCGCCAATTACACGCACTTGTACTTTTGTGTGAGTGTGTGTGTGTGTTTATGTGTGCACTCTTAAAACGGCACAATGTGTGACTGAAGTTAAAGCGATTGTGGCGGCGGTGGTGGCGGTGTTTTGAAATTGTTATTGTATTTTACTTTCTTCAACTAAAAAAAAATATTAAAAGCATTTTTAATTAATTACAGTGCGAGCGGCATTCGGGGTTTATAATTTCGAGTTCCGCAATAAGAAGATTGGATTCATCATACCAGACGAACTGTTGCTCAACTACTTGGCGCAGCGTCATGACCTGACCAATTTCGTTATAGAAGTAGGACAGGGTAAGTTTAAATTAGATCACGACTTGTTATCTTAATTATTATGATTATTATCTTAATATAAACTTTCTTAATATGCATCTCGTCACAGTTAAAGATAAATCGATGAGGAATAAGAATGCAAGTTTCGACTCTCGATGCTCTCAAAAGTTAAACATTCAATTATCTCAAAAATCCGACGATAGTGTAGCAAATGAGTATACCGACGAATATGTCATAGTTAATGAAGCTTTGAGTTCTCCAAGGCAAGGAAACAATTTAAATGAGCCACCGAACAAAATACGTATATCTCAAGCATATACAGCACGTTTGTCAGAGTCCCCCATACGGTCAATGGATCAATCAATCGATATTATGGATAAAGTTGAGGATTCAGTCTGTTTTGAGAATGAAATGGATTTTAAAGTGAAGGAAGAAATACCAAGCACAAATTACTCTGAGCAAAACTTGTCATTAACAAACCAAACCATACATAATCAGCATAAAATGCAGCAAATTTTAGCCATTAAAAAAAACCCACATTATTCGCAAGATGATTCCACAAATGAGCAATTAAGGTCTACACATTCTCCAGTTACTGGTGTTATAACTGCTAGGCGCTTTAAAAGTAAGTTAAATGTATTTATGGTATTTGAAGCTATAAAGTGCGGTGCAGGCTATTATTTTTAAATGTCATTCAAGTTGCGCTCTTACTTGCTTCAATTTGTTCTAGCGACCGGACGTGCTAACATTTAAGAGTTTTCATTCAAGCAAAATTTTTGAAGAATACGTGTGTTTACGCACGCTGTAGGTGTGTTTCGCAAATGCAACAACTATCATTATGTGAGTGTCATTATTAGTTTTTCTCTCTTGAATGACACTCAAAAATGATAGTCCGCACCGCGCTTAACACAATCGTAATAATCGTCATCTTTTAATTCACATTTGAAGTTAATCAATATTTAATCCGTACTTCAAATGGATTAATATTTAATCCACATTTGAAATGAATTAATATTTAAACCAAATTCATTAATTAACTTGAACTTCAATGTTTATATGTCTTTGATTTGTTGATCTTATGAATAAGTTTCAGTTCAATTAAGCATTTTTTAAAGTGAAACGTTTTTGTAGTGTACAGCTTTCCATTAATTAAAATAATAATTTTATATAATGAACTCGAATTTAATAACACTATTGTATTTTTTTTTTTATTAAAAAGTGTTTAAACAATTCGGTAAAGTCAACAATAAAAGCACCCACCACATACGAAGCCCAATAACCCAACCCAGTAACATTCACAACAACCCAACGATAACCAACAGGTGAGTAATATATAATTTGCATAAAATAATATTAGGTATTAACATATTTTCAAATATTCACAGTGAATGTTTTAGAAAGAAGCGTCACTCCCGTTGGAACACAGAAGAGGAGCAAGTCCTGTTAGAGTTGTGGGAGAAAAAATTGCCACAACTACGTGGACAGAAAAGGAATGGTCATGTGTATGTGGAAATAGCGGATGTGATGTGCCAAAATAATTTTGATTTTAATGCGGCGGAGATACGACACAAAATTAGAAATTTGATGAACAGATATAAGTAGGTATGAATTTAGTGGCAAATAAATAAATAAGGAGCTATTTAATTAATTTATTTTAGAAAAGAAAAAAAAATGGGGATACCATCTGATTGGCCATATTTTGAGAAAGTAAAAATGTTACTGGAAAGCTACAAGAGCCTCGATATAGAGACGGTAGTTGAAGAAAGCGTAGGTATGTCGTGTATAATATGCATTTTCGTTATTGTTTAAATAAAAAAGGACGCATGAACCAAAAAGGTTATGAAATTCATTTACTGAATTTAATTCTAAAAATTTTATTATCATAGCTCCATATATAGTACATTAATTAGATTTGTTCTTTTGTTTATAGTTTACTCATCATCTTCGGAGTAGTGTGCGGCACTTTCTTTAGAGCACCACATAGTGTTTCATTTACACTTACAGCCGAGGTAATTATTTATTATTCTCATAAAATTGCATTAATAAACATTTAAATATTTGTAGATGGTTTTTCAAACCATGGAGCACCTGGTTAAAAATTTAACTACAAAATTGTTAGAAAGTTTTAAAGACAACATCTAAGGCACATCTAATTCCCAAGTGTGGGTCTATAAGCTCGTTAACCACAGTTTAAACTAAAAAGTTGTATTATATCAAAGTGATAAAAAAATGATAAAATAAGTATTAATTTAAGCTACAAAAATTACTTTATTTCTATAATAATTTTTGCCTTTTTTAATTAAAAATATATATTGATACGTTATAGATATCAAACTATGTATAAGCAAGATTACTAAATATCATAATTATTTTTTAACTGTTTATTTTTTTAAAATAAAAATCAAAATATTAAATTTAAATTGCATTTTGTTTATTAAAGAACGAACATTACTAACCGTTATTAAATATATTAAAAAATTATTGTTGTTGTTGCAACCGGTAGGGATCTGTTTATGCAGTCCCTTTGGCATATGGCAAATGGTACTTGATCGTCGAACTCGATGTGTTGCTCTGAAACACAGACCCTGCACTGTTAAATTCAATCGTTTATCATTATTTTATAATGAAATTGGGTATCGAATACTTTCTATTTAATATCAGACATATCTATAGTGCAATAGATGATCGAGTCTGAAGGGCATGAGGATCTATTCAAACTAAAACTAAATCTACCCCCAACATTTTTTCATATTTATTAAATCATACCTCTCGGCAAGGCATTTTTTCATTAACCATAGAAATGAAACTACAATACTTCATGATATAGGAGCAGGAGTACTTCAAAGTAGCATAATGGGACCAATGCCTTATCTTTTATATACTGCGGATCTTCCCCTTATCGATGAGAGTGTAAACAGTACATTTGCAGACGACACAGCTATTTTATAAGTTGACAGTAACCCAATCCGTACTTCCACCAAACTACAACCCTGCCTTAACAATGTCGCCCTCTGGATGAAAAATTGTCCTATCAACCAAATGAATAAAAAACTGTCCAGGTAACACTTACTACAAAACGTTCTACGTGCCTGCCTGTTTTAATAAACAATACTCAATTACCACAAGCTGTAGAAACAAAATATTTGGGCATACATCTGGATAGTAAACTAACCTGGAAACCACACATATTCAAAGACCCAAGCGTAAAGCTTTTGGTCTCAAATTGCGAAACTTATTTTGCTTTCTTAGCCCAAATTCCAAACTGTCACAAACTGTCGACAATAAGCGGCTTATATACAAAACTGCAGTAAAACCTAAGTGGAGTTATGGGTCTCAATTATGGGGTACTGCAACAGATTCAGACAATCTACAACATTACGAATGATCACAAATTGGTAACTTGGTATATAACGAATGAACAGCTGCATAAACAATTATGTGTTTCGGCAATCAAGCAAGAAATGTCTCGTAATATGAAGAATCACGCTCATCACATATACATATGTGCAACCAAACTCGCTGGTTGATGCCCTCCTCCAACATTTCAACAAAGTTAAGAAGAAAAACGTCGAGAGACTTTGATTTGTGTACATATGTAGGTCACACATTTCTATTTTAAGTGTATGTGGATATGTGACTGGGTATAGTCCACGCGTGCCGATCTTTTCTCAGATCGTAATAATTATTATTACGGTTCATATTAATAAATTTTACTTATTGTCATTCATACCTGACAGAATGTAATAAAATAAATGGATAAATAAGAAGAAAAACCAAAATATCTTCAAACACGCAATGTACACATTATACCTCTAATACGTTTCAAATACTACCTTTTCTTGTGCATACAACACAACTGCACAACAACCCTAACATACTTTATTCTTACGCGCATTTCATGGTTACATTCGTAAACAAACAGCGAACTGTCAAATTATCACGTACTACATTTCTTCTACAACGAAAAGAGGAAAAATGTAAAAGACATTAAGCGAAATGAATTATAATAGAATACATAAAAAGAAATTAGAAAAATATTAAAATAGAAGTTCTCTAGAAAGTCGATTAAAATATATTGTCTCCACTCAATTATAAAGTGTAAATAAACAAAAAATTCGAGATAAAAACAAAAATGGTACTCCGTTCAGGCTGCATTATTCCCTTTCAGTTCCGCGACAATAAAAAACTTTTAATGATCGGTGTACCTGAGGAAAATCGAAATTTAAGCATTTGGGATTTAAAAAATGTTGGTAAGTTTAACTTAATAATAGCAAACATTTTTCGAATCGGAAATAAACAAAATGTGTTGAAATGTAATAATATAAGAACATTTCAACCGCCAATTGCACGCACTTGTACTTTTGTGTGAGTGAGTGTGTGTGTTTATGTGTGCACTCTTAAAACGGCACAATGTGTGGCTGAAGTTAAAGCGATTGTGGCGGCGGTGGTGGCGGTGTTTTGAAGTTGTTATTGTATTTTACTTTCTTCAAGTAAAAAAAACATTAAAAGATTTTTTAATTAATTACAGTGCGAGCGGCATTCGGGGTTTATAATTTCGAGTTCCGCAATAAGAAGATTGGATTCATCATACCAGACGAACTGTTGCTCAACTACTTGGCGCAGCGTCATGACCTGACCAATTTCGTTATAGAAGTAGGACAGGGTAAGTTTAAATTAAATCACAACATACGTAGCTGTAAGTAGCTTAGAATAGCACATCCTTTTCTACATATATCAAATAAGTAGTTATATTTTAATAAATACTGAATCCATGTCCCCTTACATGCGTGTATCCGTTTTGAAGTATTAGCGTTATGTATGCCTAATACTCCATATTTCGTGATATTAACCTTCCGCTCATATATGTATAAAAGCGCTAAAATGTTATACATTTTGTTGTTGTTATTTACATAAAATAGTTAAATTATTTGGATTTGAAGTTAATTGCACAATTTGATCCTTGTAAGTTCTTATATTATTATTTTAATTAAAACAAAACTTGTTTAAAACGCTACTCCTTACAGTTGGCGATGAATTGACTAAGAATGAGAATGTATGTTTTGAACCATCTTGTTCCCAAAAATTGAATATACCAGTACCGCAAAAATCTAACGACAGTGTAATAAATGAAACTCCGAAAAAGTATATCATGGTTAATGAAGCTTTAAAATCTCCTTTGCAAGGAAATAGTCCTAATGAACCGCAAAACAAAATCCGTATATCCCATGCCTATACAGCACATACACCAGAGTCCTTAACCCAATCAATCGATCCTATGGATGTTATGGATAAAGTTGAGAATCCAGAGAATGTTAAACATGAAATGTCTTTTGATGTGAAAGAAGAAATTATGAGTCAAAATTACACTCAACAAAACCTGAATGCAATACACCGTTCAGAAATGCCACATATGAACTTGCCGCTGTTAACCCAATCTCCGCAGCAACAACATACACAACAGCAACACTTATCCATGCCAAGCAACCCATATTATTCAAATTATGGTCCAATAAATGAGCAATTAAATTCCGAACATTCGCCAGCTTTTGGGACTCCACCTGTTAGCCGTTTTAGAAGTAAGTTTTTAAATTGATCTATGGAATGTTAAATAACTTCAATTCTTTACTAGGGCGGGGGGAACGTATGTCAAAGGATCAGAAAGAAATTTACGTAAAATATATTGACGATAATCCTTGCATGCTGTCACAGCGGCGAAACGATTCTGGGCTAGAAGCACATTGGGTTAAATTGTGTAGTATGCTGAATTCTGTGCAACAGGGAGCGGTGAAGAATGTTGAGGAATGGCGTCAGGTGAGTTTTATACAAAACAATTGATGATGTAAGATTGTGTGATAATTCATTAAGTTATGAATA